GACATTTTACAATAGTGCGTAAGATTTTAATTGACAAAATATCTTATCCTGGGATCATTTTATCCTCTGATGCAGGCAATATCATCAAGAAATAGAGGAATTTGTATCAAGTTTAGTAAAAAGATTTGAAGACCAGCAGAAAAATGATATGGAAAAGACATCCTTTAATCTTTTGCCCCAGGTATTTCACATTTAAGAGATTTTTTTTTTTTTTTTTGGAGGGGGTGGAACCGGGGATTGAACTCAGGCCCTTGCATTTGCCAGGTAAGCACTTACTCTCCTGAGCCATCTCCCCCGCCCCACATTTAAGAGATTTTAAGATTAGTAGGGTTATCTTTTTTGCTACCAATTATTAGGCTATAGGGATGGTCTTGATTCAAAACCACAATGGTATTTAGGGTTCTGCTTGCCTCCCTGCCAGCTTCCTTCTCCAAAACCTGCCCCTTGTGAGTGCAGCTCATATTTACACCTGGCTGTTTTTCCTAAATGGACACATGGTTTGAGGCAGAAAAATTAATTCATAATAGTAAAAAAGTTCTGTATAGAAGAGGTTTGTAGAAGATAGATTTTTTTTTTTTGGCAGAACCGGGGATTGAACTCAGGCCCTTGCACTTTCCAGGGAAGCACTTATTCCTCTGAGCTATGTTCCTGGCCCCAGATGGGGTGGCACTCAGGATGCCTTCAGGGCAGGTCTGGTTTGGCTTGAGAATGTGGGAATCGAACCACAGCCTCCTGAGCCTGACTGCTTCAGCAGGCACTTAAACACCTGAGCTAATGGAATGGGCAAGCCCCCACCCAGATTTTTTTTTTTTCCTCCACATGCCTTCAGGGCAGGTTTGGCTGACTTGAAAGAATTGAGCTAAGGGGCAGGCCCCCACAGATTTTTTTTTAAGCAAAGGCCTGAGTTCAATCCCCGGTTCCACAGAAAAAAAAGTAAAAACCAACAGAATAAATTATGTGCTGTCCTTTTTTGCTCTTGCCTTATTTAAAAAAATCATGTCTAAAGAAATCTGACAGATTTCACTAT